ATCATATGGTCTGAGGAAAATTCCCCAGAGAGACTTTCGATACGCCTGACATATTCTGGGACCGAAGTGATGAGCAAATCAAGCGTTGTCGCTCTGTCATTAGCACATCGTGTTGGTACATTAATCAACTGAGACCAAAAGCAGTCATATAGGCATTCAATAAATATGGAATCAAAATTGGATGATGAAGTGTAGTTGGACCAGTTAACATTGGGAAAATTAAAATCTCCCAAAATAAAAATGTTGTTTATTCCAGTTCGATGAACATTGTAAAAGATATTCACAACATTCTGTAGATATCCAGAGTCCATATTCGGTGGTCGGTAGAATACTGCAATAATCATTTTGGAGTTGTTTGTATCTGATATTTCACATACAACAACCTCAACTTCATCCATTTCAAGATCACGGCGGCGAACTGATATAAAATCAGACTTAAAGCACAGCAAAACACCACCACCACGTTGACCCTGTTGTCTATCTCGACGAAAGATAACATAATTTGAGTCGAGAATTTCAGTATCCATTATTCTCTGATGGAGCCAAGTTTCAGTAATAGCTACAACATCCACGCCTTTAGTTCTAACAAGATCCTGAAGTTCACCAAGCTTGTTGCAAATTGATCTTGCATTTAAAGAAAGACAGCGAATAATTGACTTAGACGATTGTTTATCAGAATAGCGAGCTTGCCCAACTGCACGTGGAGGTCCAGGATTAGATTTTATGTCGCCAGAGAGCAATAAATACTCCGTATTAAATGTAGCACAAGTATTTGAGTAGTAGCTGACCCTAGCCGGATGAAACCTCCTTCTCCTCGAGCGTCTTGACCTTTCAAGATCAACATGGCCGCCACGTGGTTCGTAGGAGAGCGTAATTTCATCTTCATACGCCCAGAAACGTGTTTGAGAGTTACTGACAACACCTTCCGAAGAGACGTAAAGTTGGCTGCAAACGGAATAGCCATAATGAAAAGTCACAGGCCTTAGAAAAATGCAAGAAATAACAAAAATTGCGGAGCATACAAACGCGTGACCGCCTGCCATTATGCTAATTGATGCCATTATATCATTTACCGAGGAGTTGAGGCAAGTTAACTGTTCTCCTTGGATTTATTTAGGAAACTGATCACCAACAGAACAGAATCGAGGACTTGCATGAATTGGGCTTGCTTCATATCTGTTGCGTTGCATTGTGTTGCACTCGAGTAGCTTTAAGAATAGATAGATAGATAGATAGATAGATAGATAGCCCTTTTTTCAAAACGATGAGTTTTAAAGATACATGAGCTTGTGGGGTCGTTTGCAATTAACTAATCACTAAATGTACTAAAACCTAAAATCTAGGGGTACGTATAAAAATTCTAAACTTAAACAAGCGGTGCTTACGAATGCAGAATTGTAAACATAAATTCAAATTATACAAAGTCATCTTTTTTAAAATTACAAGTAAATGCAGACGTTATCTTAAAACTGAATTGAATAAAATTAACTAGAGATTTAAGCTTCAGCCTGAGGTCGCGATATAAAATATTTTTTTGTCAGGGCACTACAATTGTTAGTCACTGCATTCCACAGGACTGAGCCTCTAAACGCGACAGAGTCTTTCTTGTAGCGCGTGTTGAAGCGTGGAACAGTTAAGGAAGCGCAAGCCCGATTTGAATAATTTAAGACCCGTTTCTTAAAAATCAGATCAATTAGTATAGCAGGTAACCTATCGTGGAAAGCTTTATGAAAACAGATAAAAATAACTGATTTATAATAAATAGACAGAGTCGGCCATTGGGCCCGTTGTAGGACATCAGCAGATGCTATGTCTTTCGGCAAATTAAAAATAAGTCTCGCAGCCCTACAATGAAGTCTTTCCACGAACTGAAATAAGTCGGAATTGCAGCAAGATCCCCATAGTATA